TTGGCTCTCTTATCAAACCAATTGTTAAGGATATAATATGAAAAACAGAACCAATTCCCAATATCAAATAAGTAGATGCATTATAAAAACCATCTAAGCCTTGCAGAATACCATCCATGGTAAAAGCAAAAAGGTTATTAAATTCTTAGGTGGTGATATTGTCTGCCATCATATAACTTTCAAATTTATTAATTTATCAAATGAATTTACCTGCATTATGAGATTTCAGTAAATTGTGGTAGGTGTAATAATCTTTATTGGGGGGCTGGAGAGATGGCTCAGTAGTTAAGAGCACTGACTGCTCTTCTAGAGGACCCAGGTTCAATTCCCAGCACCCATATGGCAGTTTACAACTGTCTGTAACTCCAGGATCCAGCACCCTCACACAGATATACATATAGGCTAAAACACCAATAAAATAAATGATTTTTTTATGGGCTGAAGAGATGGCTCAGAGGTTAAGAGCATTGCCTGCTCTTCCAAAGGTCCTGAGTTCAATTCCCGGCAACCACATGGTGGCTCACAACCATCTGTAATGAGGTCTGGTGCCCTCTTCTGGCCTGCAGACATACACACTTATAGAATATTGTATACATAATAAATATTTTAAAAAATAATCTTTATTGGCCAGCAGGTGTCATAAGCAGGTGTCATGGTTGCGGGCGCTTGGCAGAGAGACGGGACCTGCGGCAGTGTAAACAGCCCTGCTCAGTTCTGCGTTGGCGCCTGCATAAATACTGACAAATGTGCTTGACAGATTAAGAGCAATTAAATTGGTTCCGTACATGGAGTTTCTTGGTGGCCAGAATATCAAGGAACCCAGAGTTCAGGAGCCAGGAACACAAACCAGAAGCTGCGCAAGTTGCCACACATCAGGGAACGTTTCAGGGGCCAGGGAGCGGGAGAACATTGCGAGCCCAGGAAATTGCCAAGTTGCTGTGCAGAGGGCCTAATTGCAGTGGGGTTTTGGGGGAAAAAAACTGTTAAGGTGAAATCAAGTTGGCAGGCAGGAGTGGGACACCTTTTGAGTCGGTTCCTGTAGGCATGGAATCAGGATCCATGTGGGCACCAGATGTAGACGATTACAGTAAAGTAGTCCCACACTAGCTCAGAATGGAGTATAATGAAGGGTTCTTTATTTAGGAGTAGAGTCACACATCAGCAGTCCTCTGCACGAGCAGGAAACAGGAACCAAATCCATCAGCCAAGAGAGAACCAAGCAAGCTTTATGTCTACATTTTTAGTACAAGAGACCACGCCCAAGTGGGCTGGTATCTTAACGGCTATTGGCTGAAGGAGTTCCCACAGTAGTACACAGTCACAGCTGTGGAGATGCCCACCTGTGTTCTCTCCGTCATATTTTACAAGTGTTCATTGTGGGTGTTTTCTACTTGAAAGACTTGAGGTTGGCTATGGTAAAGAAAACAACTGTTTTCTTGTTTGCTTTATTTTATTTTGAGGCAAGGTTTTGCTGTGTAACAGCCCTGGCTGTTCTGGAGCTCACTTTGTAGACCAGACCAGCCTCCATGGATTCATGGAGATCTACCTGTCTGCCTAGTGAGTGCTGGGATTAAAGGCATGTGCCACTACTGCCCAGCTAAGAAAACAATTGTTAAGTTTAGTTCATTTTCTTTAAACCAAACTATTACGTTTATTTTGGTACTGAAACAATGTAATAGTTCTACAGTGCATCCCACAGACTTCCTGGTTCCTGAGAGAATGTGACTGCTACAAACATAAGGAATTTGGTGGGATGTGCTCCTAAGTAAGGTGCTTGGTGCAGGTTATCATCCTGTGGGTTCTAAGGTTCTTGCAGCAAAGGAATTGTTCCCTAGCCTCACAGGGCTGGTTGGGAGAACACCATTAGAGCTGTGGAATCCTGAAGAGTTCCCCACCAAGGAACAGACTATACATGAAAGGATAAATCACAAGTCTTTTCCTTTCACTCTGGATATTGACACTCGCTGTCTGAAGTTTCATGGAAAAGGAGAAGTCTGGATAGCTTTGTCCCTGATAACTCATTCACAGTGCGTTTGTCCACCCCTGAAACTGCTGCAGGACAATTGCAGTGATCCTAAACACAGTACTGGTCATGTACATGACTTTTCTTTTTTAAAAAGTCAACCTTTAAACCGTTTTCTGTCTTCTAAATTGTGTGGAAGAGTATTCTGTTTTTCACTGTCATGGGACTGGTTAGAATTACTATAAATAATCTATGGTATGCTAACAAAAGCATTAATGAAAGGTAATAGCATTCATTCTTTAGTATTCTTATTTAGATGCCTGCTTGCAGAGCCAAGTCTAACATGGTTATGTATTTCTGGTTAAGCCAGTATGAAAACAATGGAGTTTATCTTGAGTTCTGATTAAAGAATAACTTTTGTACTCTTAAGAATCCAGATCTGCTTCATACAAAGACTTTTCAGCCTATAGTATTGATTTTACTGTAGTTTTAGATGTTCTGTGACTATTGGGCATGTGGCATGATATATTTCTCAACCTGTTTTTCATTCCCAAGTGCTACATTCTCCTCTCTCCTAGCTCCTGCCCATGACTTGTTAATAGTTAATACCACAGACATATTGTGTACTTGTTTTTATCTTGTAAGTATATCTGTGCTTTATACATAAAGATTAAGAATTTTTTTATTCCCCCCCTAAAAAAAAACAGATTTTACTTATTCCTAGAGAAGGGTTATTTCTAGAGAATACACAAGTCAAACTAAACAGTTGGCTTCCATGATTGAAGCCCCAAAAAGTACATAGAAGCAGCTCTTCCTCAGGTAGCATTTGGGCCCAGCTCTGCTTTGCTATAGAGCACTGGGCCATCTTTACTTCTGCACCACTTAGTGGGATGTTAGGCTTACCTGGAAAAGAGGAGTGAGGGTGTCCGTCCTTGATGTGAAGAATTTTGAAAACCAAAATACAAGACCAAAGTTAATTTAAATTTGTAAATTAAGCCTGGTGTGGTGGCTTATGCTTCAATATTCAGGAAGCAGAGTATCTTTATGAGTTGGAGGCTAGCCTGGTCTACATGAGTTCCAGAACAGCCAGAACTACATAGTGGGACCCTGTCTCAAAAAAAAAAAAAAAACAGAAAATCAAACAAATAAGCAAAACAAAAAAACACACACACACAAATGTGTAAGTTATATTCATAAGAGCTGATATGGTTACCTCGTTAGCAATTAAGATATCCTTTGAGATTTGGGTGACTTATTTAATCCAAAAAGTACAAAATATTATAGACTACCAGAAGAAGTAAAGCATAAATACATCCAGACCTAGGAAAGACATAAGTTATTTGTAAAAGAAGGGATTTAAGAGTTGTTATAGCCGGGCGGTGGTGGCGCACGCCTTTAATCCCAGCACTTGGGAGGCAGAGGCAGGCGGATCTTTGTGAGTTCGAGACCAGCCTGGTCTACAAGAGCTAGTTCCAGGACAGGCTCCAAAACCACAGAGAAACCCTGTCTCGAAAAACCAAAAAAAAAAAAAAAAAAAAAAAAAGAGTTGTTATATCCCATACCTCTACGGCAATGTGTGTGTGTTTTCCAACAAAATAAAAAATGTGTGTTTTTCAGATACTGGGGGGGGGGTTCTGTTTGTTTGTTTTTTTTTAAGAACAGATATATTTTTAAAATATTTATTTATTATGTATATAATATTCTGTCTGCTTGAATGCCTGCAGGCCAGAAGAGGGCACCAGATCTCATTACAGATGGTTGTGAGCCACCATGTGGTTACTGGGAATTGAACTCAGGACCTTTGGAAGAACGGGCGATGCTCTTAACCTCTGAGCCATCTCTCCAGCCCCGACAGGATTTCTCTGTAGCTTTGGAGACTGTCCTGGAACTAGCTCTTGTAGACCAGGCTGTCCTCAAACTTACAGAAATCCGTCTGCCTTGCCTTTTGAGTGCTGGGATTAAAGGTGTGCACTGCCCAACCAGACAACTTTTTTAAAGAATGTAATTTTAAACCAGGTATGGGAGCACAAGCCTGTAATCTAATACAACTACTCCAGAGACTGAGGTAGGATCAAGTTCAAGATTGTCTGGTTAGGGATGGACAGATGCCTCAGAGGTTAAGAGCATTTGCCTGCTCTTCCATAGGTCCTGAGTTCAATTCCCAGCAACCACATGGTGGCTCACAACCATCTGTAATGAGGTCTGGTGCCCACTTCTGGCCTGCAGGCATACACACAGAATATTGTATACATAATAAATAAATATTTTAAATAATAAAATAAATATTTTAAAAAAAGATTGTCTGGACAGCTTACTGAGAGCCTGTCATAGAATTAAGAACTGAAAGAGACAGGTGTGGAACTCAGTGGTGGTGCTTATCTACGGTATGCAAGGTCCCACGCATTCGGTACCAAGGCAACGACCACCAAAACAAAGGTACTCTCAGTAGTGCTAAGAAAAGCACCTCTCCCAGCTGGATCACTCAGGTTATCTATCAGTCCTCTTTGGATTCTATAAATCTGATAAAAGACTAAACATTTGTGGGCTGGAAAAGCACCTATTGCTCTTCTAGAGAACCCAACCACTGTAGCTCCAGCTTCAAGGGATCCTCTGTGGATACCTCCTGCATACAAGGACACACAAATGAACAAACTCGGTTTTTAAAAAGTTGTCTTATTTCTGCAAAATTCACAATAGTCCACATTTCTTGCTTAGGGAAATTATGATTTTTCCTTAAAGCACCATAAGTAAAAACTATAACTACTTCTAAAGCCATTAAAACAAAGCAAGAGAGCTTGGATTTCAGAAATTTCTTCCTTGAAGTTAGGGTTCACTCTAGAGGTCAAGGTCACTTCACTTATTTTACTTTGCTGTTGACATTGGTTGAAAGTGCAGATTTTGAACTCTTTAGACAACAGGTTAGCCTGTAGAGGTATGCCTCACCTGTCTCTGACACCGTCCTGTATTGCCTGTGAGTACCCTTTGCTCCCAGAAACCTGTACCACCCCTCACTTTGCCACCCATGGTGTCTTACCAGGTCCTGATTGGACATATCTCTAAGAAGATGAATAAGCAGACCTTCCCCGAGCACTGCAGTCTGTGTAAGGAGATCTTGCCATTCACGGATCGCAAGCAGGCAGTTTGTTCCAATGGGCACATCTGGCTCCGGTAAGCCCCCAAGGCTGCTCCTGTCTCAGTTTTGTGTAACCCAGAATCACCATCCAGGGCTGATCTACTTGATGGATGAACTGTCTGTGCTTGCTTGGGTTGCTATTTGCCTTGCAGTCGGGGTTAGGGTCTTAGAGTTATGTACTTTTTAGTTAGGTTTCATAATAAAAGGAGAGGGGCATGTAACAGGCATGGAAGAGATGAGAGGGCATCAGAAAGAATAATCAAAATATATTATATACATGCATGAAGTTGACAGACAGCAAAATCAAATTTTCGTAATGAAAGAATCCTTCTTTATCCTGTCTCCTTAGCCTAGCCAAAGAGGTGACCTTGGTGGGCTCTAATTTCCTGTCACCCCCTTCTCCATGAGATACTCTATTACCTAGTTTTCCTGCAGTCTCTAACTTCATATCCAGATGTCCATGGATCCTGCCTCATCTCCTCAGTGCCCATCCTAGGCCTAACTTTACGGTTGCAATCCACCATTCATCAAGCATTCTCTTATTTGGTTTGTGCCTGTGTCAGTTCAGACTTGCAAGTTAACTTCCTTGCCTACCTGGCATCCTTATTTAGATGTTGCCTTGGCACTTCACAAAGAATCCAACCCCCCTCATCATTTCTGCCTCTAGAGCCCTGGCCCAGACACCATCCTTTTCACGCATAGGATAGTAGCTATCTTTTACGTGCTGCTTCCATACTTGAACCCTCAGTTTGTTCTCTGCAGTTTTGGCCATGATATTCAATCTTTATCAGCTCTTGTCACATCAGTACTCAGTACTCTCCACTAGGACTAGGGATTTGGGTCCTTGATAGACCATACCTCTAGGATTTATAAGGCAAAGCCAACAAAAGCTCTCGAGGAGCTGACCATTTCTGAATTGAAAAGCTAAAACTTTACATAATTTGCAGACTTTTCACAGCCTGTTCTTGCCTCTTCAAGCCCTCATTCTTGCTCTGAGCTCAGCTCCCAGATTTCTCCATCCAGGAGAACAGGGCACCTTGCTCAGGTCCATATGGCACCCCTCCCACTTGAGGATGTCTGCAGGGACACAGTAGAGTCCTAATGCTTCTCAGCTGAGGCTTCTCGCTTCAGCTCTTTCCCTCCTTTCCTCCTTCCCGCTCCTTGCTCCCTGACACACACACTCCCATCTAGTCCTATGTATCCCTATGCTTTGCTGTTTTTCTCCTTACAACCACATTTCATTCATTCTTTTTTTAATAAGGATGGGGTCTCACTGTAGCCCAAGTTGGCCTTGAACTCGAGCTCTGCCTTCTGAGTGCTGGGATCAAACACCTTCATCACCACAGGAGGCCCTTTTAGATCTTTGCCTAGTTACCCTTCCTTTGGACTAGGCAGTTCTCTGAGCACAGAGAAGACTAAAGCAGTGTTTGCTAATGCTCAGCAGAAATGTTAGATTCATTTAACTACAACAGGACTATGATACACATACCATTTATCCATTCATTCATTCATTTTCTTTCTTGTTTTGTTGTGTGTGTTTTATTGACAGATCTCACTGTGTTCTGAGGCTGGTCTCAAACTTAATGATCCTCCTGCCTCAACCTCCCAGGCATGTGCCACTGTGCCCAAGATTTGTTTCCTTTTTTTTTTTTTAATTATTTATTTAGCTTTTCAAGATAGGGTTTCTCTGTGTAGCTCTGACTGTCCTAGAACTTATTCTGTAAGCTGTGCTTCCATTGACCTTAGAGATCCGCCTGTGTCTGCTTCCCAAATGCTGGGATTAAAGGTGTGTGCCACCACCGCCCAACCAGAGTTCCATTCATAATGGAAGTAGAGCTGGAGCCTTCAAGCATGTGGGTGCTCTATGATACCTTCTCTTATTGACATGTTTTTTTCCTTGAAGGGAAAGAGAAGAAAGAGAAGTTAAAATCTAATATTGGGGGCTGGAGAGATGGCTCAGAGGTTAAGAGCACTGGCTGATCTTCCGGAGGTCCTGAGTTCAATTCCCAGCAACCACATGGTGTATACTCATGTATACACATGGATCTCAGGGTCTGATAAGAGACTTGTGTCACTCTGACTCTAGTGCTCACAGAGGCCCTAACAGACAACCCAGCCACATCCTCCCTGACTTCTATCCCAGTTTTTGGACTCACAGATGGGTGTGACCTAGAGTCACTGAACTGGCAGCCATTTGTATACAGTATACTCACAACCATCTGTAATGAGATCTGGTGCCCTCTTCTGGCCTGCAGGCATACAAGGAGACTGAACACTGTACATAATAAATAAATAAATCTTTAAAAATATCTAATATTGGATAAATTTTAGGCTTGTAATCAAACTCACATCTGTTGAGCACTGTCAGCATGCCAGACAAATTGGGACAGATGCACATCCCTTTTAAGTGACCATATCCTCACAGTGACCACACACAGGGAAGTCCCATGAAGATCTCCATTTTGTAGAAAGGATATTATTGGGGCACGGGGATAGTAAGAAGAACTTACCTAAAGTTAGTGAGCTCAGAATCCACACTGTAATCACTGCCTGCTCATGCCTCCCAAATTTGTGGGTTGTTTCAAGGAAGTTGTTTTCCATTTTTCTGATTAAGGTTAGCCCCAAAATAAATACATTGGTATAATTTCCCTCTGGTGAACTCTTTGGGTTTTTTTTGTTTTTTTTTTAATTAATTAATTAATTTATTATGTATACAATATTCTGTCTGTGTATATGTCTACAGGCCAGCAGAGGGCACCAGACCTCATTACAGATGGTTGTGAGCCACCATGTGGTTGCCTGGAATTGAACTCAGGACCTTTGGAAGAGTAGGCAATGCTCTTAACCACTGAGCCATCTCCCCAAACCCCCTTGTTTTTGCTTTTTTTTTTTTTTTTTGCTGTATACCTAAGTCTCAAGGTCAACTTTAGAGTCCCTTCCCCTGACCTTCTGTTTTCTACTCCTTAGTTGTTTACTTGAAAACTGCTACCTCACCATGGGCAGTGGTAGTGCACTCCTTTAAGCCCAGCACTTGAGAGGTAGAGCTAGAGGCAGGCAAATCTCTGTGAGTTCAAGGCCAGCCTGGTCTACAAGAGAGAAAGCTCGTCTGGGGGGGGGGGGGGGGAATGAAAGAAAAGAAAAGAAAAAACTGCTGCCTTCATTTCCTCCAGAGCCCAGTTACACTCTTCCATCTTATACCCTTCCTACCCTTTTGCCTTCTGGTAGGTGCTCAGTGAATGCTCATTGGACAGAAGTGAATTGAACCCTCTGGGTGTTTACTAGTTTGTTAGTTTCTTTTCTTTTTAATGCTATTAATTTCATCTAATGCGTAAAGAGGTACGCATGTGTTGTGTGTGACGGATGTGCCAGAAAAGAACATCGAGTGTGGTCTATCACACTCTACTTTATTCTTTCAACACAAAGTCTCTTTTGGAACTAGACCTCACATTTTTCTGCCAGGCTGGAAACCAGTAAGCCCCAGCGATTCTCCTGTCTCGGGCCCGCTCTGTACTAGGCTACAGATGCAAGTGGGAACACAACTGGCTTATTACTTTGGTGCTGGAATCTGAACTCAGGCTGACCTCATGCTTACCTAGCAAGCACTCTTACCCTGACAGCCATCTTTCCAGCTCCAGTACCTCAAGGTGCCCCTAGACCAGTGGTTCTCAACCTTCCTAATGCTGTGAACCTTTAATACAGTTCCTCATGTTGTGGTGACCCCAACCATAAAATTATTTTCATTGCTACTTCATAACTTCAATTTTCTACTGTTGTGGATTGTAATGTAAATATGTTTTTCAGTGATCTTGGCTGACTGCTGTGAAAGGGCTGTTCAACACTCCCTGGGTTAACAGCCCACAGCTTGAAAACTGCTGGCCTGAGGGCTCTTAAAAATGGTCCATATACTTTATCTTAAAACCTAATGAGTGGCTTTGCATATGATATGTGAGTGTTTACATATCAAGAATGCAGTTAGGGAGAACCAGATTGAACTCTTTCCTAGAACTTCTGTGACTTCCTGCATAGAAACCTTGGTCACTTCAGAACACGGTGGCAGCAGAGAGGGAAGCATTGCCCTGATAACTGTGGGAGTTTCCCTCAGCACCTGCTGCTTTCTGGTGCAGTTGGGCCCACGGAGCGTCCTCTGACTTGACTCTGTCTTTCAGGTGCTTTCTAACCTACCAGTCCTGCCAGAGCTTGATATACCGACGGTGTTTGCTTCATGACAGCATTGCCCGGCACCCTACTCCAGAAGGTAGGTGCTGGCTTAGCCTTGGGTGGGATGGAGTCAGGTTCCTCATCACATAAATGTCCTGCTCTTGGTTCACCACAGACTCATTCTTCTCTCTGCAGTTACTGTAAAGCCAGAACCAGTTAACAAATGGTCCCAGAACTCACAATGCATGTGTGTGCTGTATGTCAGCTGATGGTGGAATAGGGAGCTGTTGTTGATCTACTTCTGCAACAAGGTCTTCAGTCCAGTGGGAGGGCCTCACTCAAGGGAGTATGTAGGGGTTATATTTGGGTAGCCATTCTGCAGATGATGCTCTTACACAAACTGTTGTTGCTGCTGGTGCAGTATTGCTCTTTTAGAAGCCATCGAGGACTAGTTCCTGGTTGATCTGTGTGCTCTTTCACATATTTCTGTTTCTGAGAGTGCTAGCTGGAAAGTAAGATCTCAGAGCTGGGCAGTGGTGGCGCACACCTTTAATCCCAGCACTGGGGAAGCAGAGGCAGGTGGATCTCTGTGAGTTCAAGGCCAGCCTGGTCTACAAAGTGAGTTCCAGGACAGCCAGGGCTACACAGAGAAACCCGGTCTTTGGGGGATAAAAGAAAGAAAGATAGGTACAAACAAGAGATCAGGTGTCTAATAGTCACAGAATGCCAGTTAGTATGAGCTTCACTAACCCTACACTCCAGCCAAATGAACCAGTAAGACATGCTTTGATGAACAGAAAACAAGAGTACCTAAAACTCAATTTGTACTTATTTTTGCTAATTCTCTCAAGGTTGCATGTTGGCAGCTTGGATTCTTTTTTTTTTAATTAATTAATTTATTATGTATATAGTGTTTTGGGCACCAGATCTCATTATAGATGGGTGTGAGTCATCATGTGGTTGCGGGAACTCAGGGCCTCTGGAACAGCAGTCAGTTCTCTTAACCTCTGAGCCATCTCTCCAGCCCAGCAGCTTAGATTCCATATCTGCTTTTAGTTGAACAAAATTCTCCATCTGAGTCTGTACCTTGCTCCTAGTTTAAAACATTTGGAGAGTTCTTAAGCAGTTACTACAGTTGACTTGATGTTTCGGCAAGGTGAGAGTTTTGTTTTGTTTTGTTTTTACAAGCCTACAGCACCCGGTATCCCCAGGTGGTCTCCCATCCAAGTACTAACCAGGCCCGACCCTGCTTAGCTTCCGATATCAGACAAGATCAGGCGCGTTCAGGGTGGTATGGCCGTAGACAAGGTGGGAGTTTAAAACCCAGAGTCCTGACCCTTGACTCTGGGTTCTGAGTAGAACTGGAATAGAGCAGAGGTTTCACACGCCAGCAGTGATCTGTTGTCACTACTTGTCTACTTTTCTGCTCTGGTAGCATTTCTGAAAAGTTGGTATTACTGTTCCTTTACAAAAGCATACTATTCATAATTTACAAACTGGGCATAATAACTTGTAGCTATAATCCCAGCACCAGGGAGGCTAGGGCAGGAGGATCGAGTGAGTGGTCAAGGTTAGCCTGGACTATGTAGTTAAGACCCTGTCTCAAAAACAAAAAATAACATGTGAATATAGTCCTTGGTTAACTTGAACACTTGTGGCTTTTTTGTTTGTTAAGGGATATATTTGGTTGGTTGGTTTTTTGAGACCGTGTCTCTCTATATGTACTCCTGGCTGTCCTGAAACTTGTTATGTAGACCACACTGGACCTCAGATTCATAAACATCGTCCTTTCTGCTCCTGAGTGCTGGGATTAAAGGCGTGTACCATCGTGCCTTGCACAGGTGGCTTCCTGTAGAGCTCCCTCATTGCCCGGGCCTTCATCTCATCCCAGGTCCAGTTTTGGGAGTCACACATTGATCCTTGAGCCTCCTAGCCATACAGTACAGTATACGCACATTCAATCCTGTCCCCTTTTCTGAGGCTGACCCTTGTCCTGCTGCCTTTCCTTTGCAGATCCTGACTGGATTAAGAGGTTGCTACAGAGCCCTTGCCCTTTCTGTGATTCTCCTGTCTTCTGAGTGTTCGTGAGGAGGATAGAGGAATATGAACGTGGGTGTAGAAAGTGCCCTGGAGCCTGAGGAGCAGATGTGCTGGAGGACCTGGTGCGGGGCAGTGGAGAGACACTCTTCTGACTGGAAGCAGGGAGGTCTTCCTTGAGCTCATTTCGCCAGCACAAACACTATCTTCAGGAACTGAAGTCATCTTTTAAATGAGTCATTTTGAGGTGAACATTAGCCACCCTCAGCTCCTCACCCAATGAGGACAACTTACTTTTCAAGTGTCTTGCCTAAAGCAGTTGAGCAGAAGCCTTCTGCTCCTTGAGACATAATGGGCTCTACCAGAGAATCTGAGGAACTTGCTGTGACTTAGATTTTGCTTTGGTCTGGAACTGCCTATGGCTCCAAAGGACTCAAATTGGTTGGTACGTGATACTCCCGGTGCCAATACATCTTAAAGTGTCTAAAGCTGTGTGTGGCTGGTGTTTGCTCAGCAGACTCATTTGCCCATTGACTTGTTTCCATACACATGGAATACATTTTCCTAAAACTATATTTTTGAAGCCAAGAAATAAAATCAATCTTGGTGTATCAAACGATCAGGTGACTATTAGAAGTTAATAATTGTCATTTGTTTTTATCTCCTGTGTCATCAGATTTCCTGACCCAGCTCCTTAGTATGTCAGAAGAGATTGAGTACCCCTTTCCTAATCACAGCCCCACATTATCCCCAACTGTGTAACCTAGATATTTGTACATAGAGGGGAAGTATTTTCTAATTTTAGTATTAAATTGAAGCTTCAGTATTTTTAACATTGACTGAGTCAGACGTCTTATCTGGGGAGAAAGGTGGCCTACGGATTTCTGGAGAGAGGTGGCAACATGGAGTTGGAGGTCCTGGAGCTCTGCTGCAAGCACATGCAGCTCAAGTGGACAAACCTAGGAATTTCTCTCCCGCCAAAGGGCCTTAATATTTGAAATGCAGGTATTTTTCTGTGGGCGTACAGAGGAGACACGCACACTTGTTTGACTGCTAGTTCTTCACCAGACCTGAATGCATTCTGGAACCATAGTCTTTGGTTTTTTAAAGTACGTTTCCTGGGATTGGTGCTAATGAACTGGATTTAGTACGCACATTCTGAAATTTTATATGTTTTTGGAAAGCAGGGTGGAAAGTATACAACATGAAATGCTTTGCTCCTTCATGATCCTTTCTTGCTTTTATTTTAACATACTTCCTGCTTTGATTTTATATCCGTAGTGAAAGATGTTCTGTCCTCACTTCAGAAATACTGTCTTGGTACTTGGGTACCACAGTGAGAGATGAGACCACCTGCCATCCTGCCATACTTCCCGCCTCAAAAAAATAGCTCTACACTGGGGACAGACCATAAGACCAGCATCTATCCAGACCAGAGGGGCAGCAAAGAAAGAGCCCTGACTGACCCAATTCAGACTATACATGGCTGCAAGACAGCCTACAACTGGCACTCTTCATGGAAACATGGCAGGAGTGGAGATATTGATAATTGTCTCCACTCTGTCAACCACACATGCCGAGTTTTCTTTCTCTTGCTCTTTGGGATCAAACTCCCTAGGTGTTTTCACAGGGGAATTTGGTTATTAACCATTTAAAACTGGGAGTGATACCAGGGTCTTGTAGTTGCCTCTTCCAGCTTGAATTTGCCTGTGCTACGAGGTGGAGTTGAGGTAGCTGTTTTAGCGTGGGAGGATGAATAGCCATAGAATTGCTGCCCTGCATTTAGAAGGCTGAATTAACTGATTGTTTAAAGCAGTTTCTCGGTTTTGAGAAATTTTAACAATTAGGAGTAATGAAATTTCTAAGGTCTGTGCTTGTGTCCAGGAAGATGGCAACTGGAACACAAGCTCAGTAAGGGATTTAGCCCAGCAGCATTCTTACCACAGCCAAGTGTCTCCACAGCTAGTAGGCATGCTTCCCTCCCCTCCAATGCCCTCCCAACTCCCACCACACACCAATGTTAATCTTCAGAGCAGGGTGAACAAGAGAATTTGGGATTGATGGCAGCCTCCTACATAGAGCACTTCTGAATTCTTCTCTAAGGGTTAGTATATAGGACCCTGGAGGGTTGATGGAGGGGCCTTGGGAGACTGGGAGTGACACCAGAGTCTGGTAGTTGTTGCCTCTTCCAGCTTGAACTTGCCTGTACTATGTGGTGTTGAGGGAGCTTTCAGTTGCAGCCATGGTAGCTGTTTGAGCATGGGAGGAATACTAGCCATCGATTGCTGCCATGCATTTAGAAGGCTGAAGCCGGCTCTACAGAGACCACACAAGCTGCAACACTGCTATGTATCAGGTCTTCTCTGCCTGGGCTTATTTGTTTCTGTCATTGTAAGTATGAAATGGGTAGCTTGTTCTAGTTGGTGTTCATGCCGATGTCCTGATATGTTCACCTCTAGACTTGAAACTGTCTTTACCTACTACTAGATCTGCCAGAAGCTGTCGTGAGCACCTTCGAAATCTGTGGTCAGATGTAGCACGTTCCTGCTTGTCCCTCTAGGCTCTAGCAGGTTTTTAAGAAAGCTAGACCTAGCAACAAGCTTAGCAAGTTAATTGGATTGGGAAAGTTTTGTTTCTGTTGGTTTGGTTTTGTTTTTGAGACAGGGTCTCACTATGCAATAGTCCTGGCTGTCCTGGAACTTCCTTTGTAGACTAGGCTGGCCTTGAACTCAAAGATATGCCTGCCCCTGCCTCTTATATTGGGAAAGTTTAATCATTTGCTTGGCTATATTAGTATCAGATACGGTGCAGATGGTAGAACACGCCTTGGTCTGGGAGCCCTGGATGCTTTTTAGAGCCAGAAAAATGTATAGTGATAAAATCTCTAAAGGCTAAGCCATGTTGTGATTCTTCCTAGAAGAAGCAGTGGGGAATCTCATGATCAAAGAGCTGACTGGGCTCTTTGCTACCATAGTGTTGCTTTCTATTCTGAGCTGAAACGGAGTGCACTCCAAGTCAGCATGGAAACCCCCCAACAGTCAATCAGAGACTGAAAGCTCTTTCACTTTAGACTTCAGGAGTCACAGGCAGGCTTTGGCAGCCACTCGTGGTATGTCCTGGTAGAGGGCAGCCTTGCCTTCCCCTGGCTTGTCTGGCTTTAGTTACTGTGGAACATCAGTGCCCCACTCGCTTTAGACTGTGCCTCATGCTCTCTCTTACTAGACCCTCAACTGCTCTCTCTTGAAGCTGACGAGTTCTTGAAGTTAAATCTGCTTTGTGTCTGCCAGTCAAAAATGGAACCACACTCAAGGTAGCCTTGCTTTTAGCTGCCTACAGACATGGCATCTCTGCCCGAGTAGCAGGCAGAAGGCACTGTTCATGGGTTTTAGTCCTCAAAGTCATGTTTATGTTGAGGGAAGAGATGCTGATGCAGTCATGAGTTTAGTAAGAGCCAGATGTTCACCAGCAAGGCCTAACTATTCCTTCATGGTCATTGAGCTGAGCAGAGAAGGAGGAGGATGCATCCCAATCACTCTGTAGGCTCTCAAGCAAATATGGGGTTCTGGGTTAAGCAGATCACACCTCAGAGTTGCTGGATCTCCTGTTTGTTTTTAAGATTAAAAGTTCCTTCTCTCAAGGCTGAGGGTGTGGCTCAGTAGATGGAGCACTCTTTGAGGCCTCAAGTTCCATCCTCAGCGCTGGGGGAGAGGAAGGGCTGTTTACATCACTGTCATGAAGTTCTATTGTTTTCATAAAGTTGATTGGGTGAGTGAGTCAGCATGATGGCACACATCTATGTTCTAAACACTCAGGAAGCTGAGGCAGGAGGATCAAGTTGAAGACCAGCCAGAGCTGTATAAAAAGAACCTGCCTCAGAAAACCAACACTGGCCAGATTGTGCAGCAGAAGAGGTGCTGGTGAGGGCGTTGCAACGTTTCCAGCCCAGGTCTACATTCGGCTGGCGGGATAGGTGAGTGCCCATGTTCTCACTGCCTCTCTGTATGGTACTAATATAAAACCAAGTGTCCATGAACTGTTTCCCAAGCCTTCATTTCACATTTGTATTGATAAGACATGCGTGTGAGCGTCACACTTGTTCTAACAGATGTCTGTTGTGCTTAGTGGTTGTACCCTCTGTTTACCCGATGCTTGTGCTAAAGTTTGTGCTTGGCTTTGGATTGTATGTTTACACCTGTTTTTAATAAAGAGAAAATTTTACGGTTATGCAAAGAGCATTTTTTTTAATTCTTACTATCTAAGCAATTGTAACTTTTAAGGTTTCAGCTAAAGACTAAGACATTTTGCTTAGAATAACTGCCAACCCAGACAAGCCCGCTATTTGTTCCCCCAGTGTGTGTAGTGGTGCTATTAGCCTGTATGCTCCCCCAGGGCCGGGACTGTCTCAGCTACTAGAGCTGGAGAGCTGGTTATTGGGGCCCCCCCTCCTTCACTGTCCCTCATGGTCAGCTCCACAGGGCCATTAAGACAGGAGAAGGCAGGGTTCTTCCCTGGCTCTGAGGTTTACAAGACCATGCTACCTCTTATCCCTGTTTCTGATTTCATATCTAAGGTAAAGACCACAGTGCCCAGGAAAAGTCTGACACTGGGAAGATAGGGAAAGGTGGAAATTTGGGGATGCTCATTGTCGGTATCCAGCCCCACTGTTAATCTGGGAGGCTCATGTATGTATCCAGTCCTTCTGGTGACCCTGGTATATCCTGCCAGGTAGCTGGCAGGCCACTTATGCTGCAATGAAAGCCCTCTTCGAGTGCTCTGCTTTGGGACCCTGAAAGCCCTAATGATGCTCGTATGTAAGGTCAACGTTGAACTGTGGAGTGCTGCGTGTCTCAGCAGCGGTGCAGTCTGAAACAACCTCATACTGAGCTCTGTATGCAGAGCCACACTAGTCTTTCAGCCACTCTGTTACTTAAATGACAGGTATTTGTATATTGTGTGCCTATTTTCTGTAGTTCACATGGTTTACAGAAAAGCTGAGATACCTCTTAATCCAGTCACCTCTGTCAGGGACTTGGTGTCCATTCAGCTCAGTGGTTGAGAGCACTAGGTGTTCTTCCAGAGGACCCAGGTTCGGTTCCCAGCACCCACATGGCAGCTCACAACTGTCTGTAACTCCAGTTCCAGAGGATCTGACACCTTCACACCAACACACATAAAGTTAAATTTTTTTTTTTTTTAAAAAAATGTTGCTATCCTAGGCTGCTTTCTGTTGCTGCAATAAACACCATGACCAAAGCAACCTGGAGAGGAAAGGGTGTGTTTTAGCTTTCAGGGACAGGTTATAGTCCATCATCAAAGGAAGCAAGAGTTTAAAGCAGGGGCTAGAGAGATGGCTCAGAGGGTAAGAGCATGCCTGCTCTTCCTGAATTCAATTCCCAGCAACCAAATGGTGGTTCACAACCATCTGTAATGAGGTCTGGTGCCCTCTTCCGGCCTGCAGGAATACATGGAAGGAATGCTGTATACATAATAAATAAATATTTTTTTTTAAAAAAAAAGAGTTTAAAGCAGAAACCCACTGCTTACTGGCTTGTTCAGCTGTGTTTCCTTCAGCCCAGGCTCCCCGGCCTACGGAGGTCTGGACCCTCCTACAGCAATTAGCCATTAAGACCGTGCTCAACAGACAGCTATTAAACCAATCCGACAGAAGCAACTTTTTTCTTTTGTTTTTCTGAGACAAGGGTTTCTCTGTGAAGCCTTAGCTGTCTTGAAACTTGCTCTATAGGTCAGACTGGTCTCAAACTCAAAGATTCCCCTGCCTCTGCTTCCCAAGTGCTGGGGTTAAAGGCGTGCGCTACCACCACCTGGCAGAAGCAACTTTTCAATTGAGATGCCTTCTTCCCAGATGTGTCAAGTTGACAACCATGATTAGCCACCACAATAGCTTATTCCAGGAGAAACTTCAGGGATGTAAGGGAAGTGAATTCATTTGCCAATAGGTTAAAACATCAATGCTTTTTTAAGAAGGTGTGGTGCTGAGAGGATTGAGCCACTCAGAGACTCACACATGCCTGGCCAGCAACCACCAAGCTGTAACATCCCATGCCCCAGATCCCAGGTGATTTTTAATAAATTACTATGTGCATATGATTGGAGAGAGAGATGTAGAACCCAAAAGACTACTTCGTGGAGTTGGTTCTCTTCTACCTTTTTGTGAGTTCTAGGTGTTGAACCTCATTCGGGTTGTCTGGGAGCCTGTGTGTGACAAGGGCTTTTATCCACTTAACCCGTCTTGCTGGCCTAGACCCCTGACTGTTAACAATGCCAGTTAAATAGTACTTGTCAAGGAAAAATGATACTGGACACGCTCTCGGTGAAGCACCAGGTAGTGAATGTGCCAGCTGGCCCCTTGTGCTGGGTTAGCCCCATCATTAGCAGCAGACTTACCTGGAGGACTCCTGTGGGTTTAGGGGGAGCCTGACAGCCAGTACAGTTCTTTGATAGCCATCCATCTGCTTCTGTAGCCTCTGATTTTACAACTGCCCACCGATAAGCTCAGACCCCATGTCCATGTTCTCTGAAGCCTCTGCTTGTGTGCCCGGCCTGGTCTGTGCAGCTGCTTGGAATGTCCATTGTTCCTGCTGGGAGTATCAGCCTCTCGCTGGTTCCCTCAGGGATACAGCAGGCTGTAGTCCACTGCACTGGAATCTCCTGAGCAGAACTCAATTAACCTTCAAAAGGGAGGAAGTGAGTCCTTCCGTGGGCGGACAGTGATCTCCTTCCCTGGCTGGCTTTCTGCTTGGATTCCCTTCCACATTAACTGTCCACATCCTAACCACCTGCATCCAAGTGTGAGCCAAGCAGGGAGCAAAGGCTTAACCAAAGCTATTGACACCATCAGTAGCCTCAGAAGAGGACTGGGATTTCCTCACTAGGCAGTGGCAGGTCCCAAAAAAACCTGTGTACATCCTGGAGCTGCAGGCACAGCCAAGGCTTTCCAGACCCATCAGACCTGATGAGTGAGGGTACTGAGATCCAGCTGGGTGCTGCTGAAAACACCCAATCCCATGCTCTAGTAGACATGGCTCCCCTTTAAGGATGGAGAGCACCTGCCATCACAGGACATCTCTCCAGAGGCTCTCCTCTCTGTCCCCCAAGCCAGAAACTCAGTCCTTTTTAGTCTCAGGGACTGGAGTGTAGCTCATTGGTACTTGCTCAGCAAGCACAAGGCTTTTGGTTCAATCCCAAGCACTGCCAACAAGAACAACAAAATGTGTTTTCAGTCCCAGCTCCAGGAGGGGGGTCAGGGAACAGACTGGATAGTCACTAACCAGTGACAAGCCTTGAAAGGGGAGGAAGGAGAGCACAGGATGTGGCTAGTGCAGACTCAGGTCCTAAGGCAGCCACAGTGACACAGACACCAGTGCTGCCTCATTGCAATGCTGAGAGAGGGGCCCAGATGCTCCTTTGCCAGAGAGGCAGATGACCAGTGGCTGTCTTTTCCAGAGACAACAGAGAACCTCGGCAAAAGCCAGGGCCAGGCATGGGTCAGGGAGAGGCCGGTGGTGCTGTGCTCCAACCCAGGACAGACAGTAAGAGGTCAGTAACGATGAGGCAAGAATGATATTCCCTTGTGTCCCTCAAGACGATTCTGGGATAGCAGAGACCAGGTGGTGGCCCTCAAATGAGAAGGTAACCAAGGGTTCTCAGGAGGTTCAGTGCTGTAGGAGGCTGCTTGTTCGTTTCCCGGCTGCCCAGACTCCCGAAATAACCACACAGAAACTGTATTAATTAAATTGCTGCTTGGCCAATCACTATAGCATATTCCTAACAAGTTCTTACATATTAAATTAACCCATTTCTATTATTTTATATTATACCATGAGGCTCGTGGCCTATGGCAAGGTTCCAGCTGGCAGCTCGTTTTTTCCCTCTGCATGGCATCTCACTGACTCTGCCTTCTCCCAGCATTCAGTTTAGTTTTCCCTGCCTACCTCTGTTCTGCCCTGCTCTAGGCTCAAAGCAGTTCTTTATTAATCAATGGTAATCACAGCACACAGAGGGGCTCCCACATCAGCTAAGTACTGTGGCATCTAGCCTGGCCCAATAGATCCTGGTGTCCTTAGGGGTGAGATGCATAGGTGGGCCATGAGGGTATTTTATTATTATTATTATTATTTTAAACATAATGGGGAGACCAAGGGCTTAAAAACACTTTATGCTCATTTCCCAGTCGAGCTGGCCAAGCAGGTTTGGCTGGCTGGGCCACTAAACCCCAGGGATCTGTCCCAGTGCTGGGAATACAGGCATAGGCCACTGCACCTGGTTTTTTCTAAAATGAGTTCTGGTGATAAAACTCAGGCCCTTGGATTTGCAAGGAAAGCACTTTACCAGCTGATCTATCTCAGCACAACTATTAGGGCTTTAAAGACAGAACCAATAGAATAAATATATACATAATAAATATTTACTGTGTAACAGCATTTATTTACTGTGTAACAGTAAATATACTTATTTTAAATATTTACTGTGTAACAGTAAATATACAGTATAATACATCCTCTTAACATATATTTAATACATATTCATTTGTCTTTGTATTATATTTAATTGTATATTAATATATTTATATTATATACAAATATCTATTATATAATATGTAATTATATCACATGTGTAATAGATTATGCATATTTTATGCAATTTATTATATGCCATATAATGCATGTATAATACATATATAGCATATATGTTATGGTTGCATAATTTATGTGTGTATGTTTATATATTAATATATATATATATATATTAAAAGAGGTGGGTTTTTTTTTTTTGGTTTTTTGAGACAAGGTTTCTCAGTAGCTATGGAGCCAGCCCTGGAACTCACTCTGTAGACGAAGCTGGCCTCTGTCTTTCAAGTTCTGGGATTAAAGGCATGTGCCACCACCGCCCAGCTAAAAGAGGATTTATTAGACTGATTTACATGAAATGGCCAAAGTAGTCCCAACAATGGCTGACTCACACTGGAAAGGGCAAGGAGCAAATAGTTGCTCATTCCCCAAGGCTGACTGCCCCAGCCATCCCAATCCAACATTGAAGGCCTGGAGGATCCCCATGAGCTGATGATCTTCAGTCTATGTGAGCAGCCTGAAGAAGCTGGTTCTTCTTGTTGAGACGCTGCCCACTGCCCCTCACAGCCTAGGGCTCCAGGTGGATGATCAGCACAGAAACCCTAGAAAGGTTCAGACCCAGGTCCGGCA